CCATTGAAGCAAGTCCGCGAAGGTAAGACTTGCAATCGAACGTGAGGTGACAGACCAAGTAGGATATTACATCAATGTTTGCCACGAAGATGTACTAACTATACTGACGTCGAACACACGTGTAGGACAAACTGTCTACCAAGGTCGTACGACACATGTCATACTTCGTCATGTGTATTTTGTCCCTGCCTAATTCAATTCAGATTTATTCTTGAAATGCTTGGAGCTACGTCGAGCAGTTATTACGAAAAAATATAGGACCTAAAAGACGTATATTTATTAATTAAAGAAATCATATGTAACTTAAAGGTTTTTGTTTTAAAATGTGTAATTTCTGTGATATAAATCTTCACGGTTTTGCAGATTGCTGTGTAGTTTAAGCCGGCGGGCACACGAGTGTCACTTAACGCACGTCTGTGTTCCGGGCACACAAGCAGAGCAATGAACGACGGGCAAAACGCTCGTGTCATGCCCCATTCTAGTCGGTAAACTTTGCAACGTACGGATTTTAACGTCCGTTAAAGTGCTCTCGTGTGTTTCAGGATTTACGTGATATGAAACTGCCGTCACGTTTTCAGTTGTCCATTTTCTTTATATTAATTGTAATGTCATTCATTGTGATATGGCATTAGTATTTCATTCAACTTGCTACGATTGAAAATATGGGGATTGAGATGGATTGAGAATATGGGGCTAGTTTTCTGAGAAATAAAAAAAGTATATGGACGAAATGTACAATTGGATAAAAATACTACGGGCTATCAGAATTGAACTTTTAAAATATTGGACTAATAATTTTGAACAAAATTTTAATTGGACGAAAATGTTTTGATGAACACTTATAAAAGCAACTTCTCTCCGCGTAAAAAAAATAGTTAGAAAAAAACGTAGGTAAGTAGGGTGAAACTGGATGTTTCGATATATGAACATGGAAAACATTCCTTTTTAAATAAAAGAGAAAGAAAAACTGCTTAAAAGTTTTCTGAAGTAAATGTAACGACCTCAGATATGAAAATATATTTTATTTACTTTTAATATTTCGAATTATTGCACAATACAAACAAATGTTTGCCGCTTAAAGACACTTTTTAAAACGCTCTTTGCTTATAGCGAAGTTTCGATGAGACTGAATAATTAGAAGACAGATTTAAATAATTTTAAGAAAATGAGCATCTTTTATTTGAAAGTAATTATGAAAAAAGAAAAAAATATTTCTTCTAATGAGTTGTTTTATTTTGTATTGCAGTAAAGTTCGTTAAAATGTTAAGAGCACAACATCATTAAATAATAATAAAGTTACTTAAATTGACTAAAAACTAATTACATTTTGTATTAGAAAAATATATTTTAATTATTGTGATTTGCCTGGAATTCGAATTTTTGTCGAAGTCACATAATGAATGAAGAGATTTTAGAATACTTAAAATTGAAATGTTGGACACATGGAGTTGTGGATAACTGGTTTTGGATATCATCAAGTTGCGAGAGCTGGAATTTTCGATAACTGAAATTATGTTATCGTATCAACGAGTATTGTTCATAGCTGGAACTTAGGTTATTTGGATTTTTGGAAAATTTGGATTTTGTTTTATAGAGTAATGGTAAAAATTTTTTTGAGAGTCCCGTCAAAAATTCGAAGGAAGATAAGTCCTCTGATCTGAAAAAACCGACAAACCTGGAAGGTAGAAAGAGTTCTTAAAACAATACCAACTGGGAACGCAGTTCGCGTTCGGCTGACAGAACCTAACAGCCCACCGCTCCTTCCTGTTCGCTTCTGCCAACAGCCACGCCCCTTTTCCCCCTCCCCTCGGCTCTCGGCCGAGCAGTGTCTGCGGCAGACGCCGCTGCGAGTAGCGTCAAAAAAAAACATCCTCCAGGCACACGGAGATAAAACTGCCGCCGACGAACAAGCATAGAAAGCGACATCGGCAACGGACACAGACAAAACTACCTCATCTTCCCCTCTCTGTATAATACACTAAGAGAAGATGAAAATTTTGTCTACAACACTCTTTCGCACAAAACTCCGTAAGTATGCTACTTCTGAATTTCCTCCCCCCACCAGTAATGCATCCAACTTCTTTGGTAGAAGACCAACATGTGTACAGCCTATGTTAATTTTGTAATTTTTGTAGTACTTTTTCTACAAAATGATATAAAACTTTCATATTTTACACGCTTAATCATTCATCAGTTTTTTTAAATTCTGACAATTTTTTGCATTGGTAAAAATAGTACATTCTTTTTTTCTAATTTTTCTTTTTGGACCGCATTTTTTCACTTTTTTCGCACAAAAAGTTTTTTGGAAACTTGTTTTGTTACTAAAGAATTTTTTTACAAAAGTGTTGAACCATTATCAATGCTGTAAATAATGAATGCTGACCTTTGAGTAGTGAATAACGTTTTTCCAAAAATATCCCAAATTACAAAATAATTTCAAACAAAGAAATTATATTTATAAAAAAAATTGTGTAAAGAGAAACAGAGCACAAAAAATGTTTGCAATCCTGCTAACAACGAACTTTAATGGCTCCCACAAGATAAATTCGTATATTGAAATTCCATTTCCATTCTTCAAGAGAATGAACAGTTCATGGGCAATGAAATAAATGTTTGACTAAGTGCTCCTCTGTGAGAATAGAAATTTATTGAACTCCATGCGAATTATCTGCACAGGGTTAGTGAATCAAAAAATGCAGGAATAACAACAAAAATCGAGGTCAACATGGGCAATTAAAGCACAGTCCAATTAAAATTGTCGCTTATAGAATTTGAAAATACCTACGGAATTTTCATAGATACCTTTAAAGGCAAGTTAAAACAGTAATTATTTTGTTGTAATGCTGGGATCGGTTTTATATAGCGGGATGTGGCACAGATTCTAGGGTATTCTCGGAATGAAGCAAATTAGACTATTTAGCGAGAGATTTAATTCACCATTAATGATCACGCTACATCGTGTCATTTACTTTTTTCGTTTGCATATACCCCAATCAGATATTTATTTTTAATAACTAATTAACTAGAATGAAAATAGAGATTACACGAGACATATGAGTTCACTAATGAGCTGATTAATTACGAATTCCGAAGACAAATTACCGGATAAGGTGGTTAGGGACATCAATTGATGTCACTGCAGTGCCTCTAACCGGGCAGCCCTAGATATGAATCCTGGTGATAATTTTTTCGAAACTAGGTAGTTAGCCGAGTCGAATTTAGCCGGTGTTTGGAGATTTCTAGCGGCCGGTTGCTCTGATCGGTAGTTTTCCGTGGTTTCTCCAATCAACACCTGCTGAATGACGGGGTAGTACCCTAACAAACGGACTGCGGACGAAGCGCGATCATTCCTTCCTCTTCCTTGTCCCATCCTCGCCCCTTAAGTACACACACTAATACTACATGCACTAAACTACCACACCAGTCGGAAGCTTAAAGCTAGTCGCGGTTGGAACTCTGCCTCACTGGTGGGAGATACCTGGTTGAGGGAAAACCCCGTTAGCCGACGGTAGGTCGGCACCAGATCCCGCCATACAGCAGGGGAAGACCATCGCCACCTCCCGAGCCAAAAACATACACTACACTTACGGGAACCATGATCTTGTTAGTTGATGCACCCGTAATCATCAACAATCAATCGAGTCACGCAGCGTACTACTTCCGCCCGCCCTAACCCCCGCCGTGTCGTCTTCCATCCGTTCCCGTCCCGTCTCATCCCCCTCCGCCCCCGCTCACGGGCTCCCACGTTCGCGTGCCCATCGAGTCCCGCCCCTCCCTCCCCGCCTCCCCACCCGCACACGCCGCCCGCCCTCCGCGCGTCGTCAGCCCACAGCCGGCTCGCTGAAGCCGAGCGCGCTCTCAAGTGCCCTGGCCGTCCGTTGCCCCTCGCCGCGCCACCACGGCCACCGTCGCCACCGCGCTCTGGGCGGCGTGCTGCGAGCCGGGCGGGGGCCCGACGCCCGCCCCGCGCGGCGCCGCGCGCCGCCCGCGCTGCTGCCTGCTGTGTTATGCCTGCGGTCCGCGGCGGCCCTCGCCATCGGATCGCGCAGCTGGTACGCTCGCTCCTCTCACTCTTTGCCAAATGCAACGTCTTCTCAACGCTCAAAAATTCCATCAGGTTCCTCAGGCGACAAGGCATGTTTGGTGACCCGAAAGACCGCAAGTTTTAGTGTTACGCTAGTTGCCAGACAACAGTATGATTGCGTTTAGTTCACGCCTAGTCTTGCAACCACGGTGTACCTCAAATATTCTTCGCCCGAGCTCAACTAAACACGCAATCCATTTTCACCTTTTCACACATCGCAGACAACGTTCACTGTGCCTCTGTAGTAGCCTGCGTCGTCGGCCTATAATGCAACCTTCGCCAAATCGCGCGCAACGCAGATCTGGTATCGCTTCCTCCTTCTGCCACTCCTCATAACCGCTGTGACATCCTCCAACAATCTTGACTACTACAAACTTGCAACGTGCTCCTCCACTACCACGCTCAAGCAAAGAATCGAGATTCCATCAGGGGGCGAAAAACCTCTTTTAACGAAGAGTCCAGCTTTTCAGAAAATCTAGTGTTCCTCTGGGTCATGTTATGCGCTTAGTGTCAGACCAACTAAGCAGTTACTGCTTGTGCTCGCCCTAGAATACACAACCGAAACCGCTCGACTCCTACAAAAAACCCAAGGTGTACCTCAAGCGTTCAAATCACCGCCCGCTAGTTTCACTGCCTCTGTAGGTTAGCATTGGACGTCGCGGCGCCCACGTCCGAATCGGCACTCTCAGGTGAATGGGCATACTTTACCACAAACTATAGACTTTTTGAATCCACGTGATTCTCGGGTTCACAAGTTTGCCAATACTGGTGTGTCTGGGCAGTGGGTGAACCTTGTGCGACCTGAAACTCTCCCCTGTTCACTGTCTCTAGCCTGCGGTTTGCGTCGCAGGCTCTCGCCATCGGCGCTGCATAGGTACGCTATAAAGAATGCAACTTGCTCTCAACGCGCACAAAAATGAGACGAGAACGGGTGTCCATCAGCCAGCATGTTGATGACAAATCGCAAGTAGTCTTACGTTAGTGCCAGACAAGTATGCTGTGTCGTTCACACCTGTTACAAAATCAAGGTGTACCTCAAGGTTCGTATGTTATCTATCGTGATTTCCGGGCAGTTGGTTAGCCTGTACGACCTGAAAATCTTCGACCGCTAGTTCACTGTCTCTGCCTCGGCCTGTGCCACGACATCCTCGCCATCGCTGCTGGTAGGCGTCTTTCAAATGCAAAGTGCTTCTCAACGCTCAAAAAGGGGAACGAAATCGAGGTGTTCCTCAGGGCCAGCATGTTAAGAGCAAATCGCAAATAGTAATCGTTGGTGCCGTTGGTGCCGCAAATAGATGTCGTCGTTCACGAGTGTTAGAAAATCAAAGTGTTACAAAATCAAAATCAAGGTGTATCTCAAAGTTCAGGTGTTAGCTACTTGGTGATTTATGAGCAGTTGATTAGACTGCGTGATCTGCAAATTTCTACCCATTAGTTCACCGCCTCTCGGTCAGACTGCGTCGTGGCGAGCTCAAATGCCATGTTTTTGTCAACGCTTGCAAAGGGAACCAAATCGAGGAGTTGCCAGTGTCAAGAGAATCTCAAGTTGTCTTAGATTGCTGGCGGACAGCTAGCATGCAGCCTACCCCAGCTTCAGTTAGTTCACGCATGTTACAAATTCAAGGTATACCTCAAGGTTCACAAGTTAGAAATATGGTGGTTGCCGTATGCAGTATGGCGATTTCCGAGCAGTTTGTTAGCCTGCGTGTTCCGAAATCTCCACCCGCCAGTTCACTGCCTCTGCGTTGGTCGTTACAAAATCAAAGTGCATCTCGAGGTTCACAAGTTAGCAATATGGTGGTTGCCGGGCAGTTGGTTACCTGCGAGACCTGCAAATCTCTGCAAGATCATTCATGCTATTTTCAAAATAGAATTGCATCAAGATTCACACTGTTGTATGTTCATAGTGTGGTCAGATCCTTCTACGTCTGTCTGGTCACTTATTTGTATGTCTCTCAAAACTAGGATGTTTCTCAAACCAAATTCGGAGAAAATCGCATGTAGTCTCAAATTGGTGTCGAATAGCTGATATAAATTCTCTGGGTTTGACATGAACAGTCAGGAAGCGAGAAGGCCGCGCGATGTGATACGTTGCTTTTCTATGCGTGCTTCAAAATCAAGGTCTATCTCAAGGTTTATAAGTGAAAAATATGGATATTTTCAAGCAGTTGGATAGCCTGCGGGTACTGCAGATCTCCGGCCGGTCGTTCACACGTGTTCCCAAACAAAGGTGTCAATAAATCAACGTGTATCTCAAGGTTCACGATATACAAGATGGCGCATTTTGCCGAACAGTTGGTACACCAGCACTTCTTTACGCCCGAATAATAGTGAAGGTGCATCAAGGTTCACAATTTTACATGTTCATAAGTGTTCTCAAAAACCCCTACGGTTGTCTGGTCACTCTTATGTGTGCCTCGAAAGAAAAATGTTTTTTTAAGGAGTGCAAGTTTGGAGAAAGTCGTATGTACTCGTACTAGAACATTTGTGCCGAGCTGTCACACCTGTGATGGGGTTCACTTGTGAAGCAAATAGGCCCTTCTTTGTGATGCGTTGCGTGTTTATTTGTTTTAAAATCAAGGTTCACAAATTGCGCGTGTGGTGGCGCATTATTGCTTACAGTTGGTATTCCTGCCACCCCTTTGTGGAATAATATTGAGCTCGTAACTCGATATTGAACACAGCCGCGCGTAATCTCACAATGTTGTTCATATGTGTTTAATGATCAGTCTCAAAGCGCGAAAAATAGGATAATATCTCGTGTAGTTTCATACTGGTGCCCAATAGTTGGTATCATCTCTGTGGGTCCTGTGACATCACCCGCGGTGGAATACGTATATATACAAGTTAGAGTTTGAAAGGGTTTCTCTAGGCGCGAAAACTTTAACCAAAACTCAAGTATTATAATGATGATCAACAGTTTTTCTAGTGCCATTGTTGAAGGGATTTGACAACTCTTTATACTTGAACAATATCCAAAATGTTCGCAAGGGAGCAAGGTTCACAAATTTGGCATTGATGTTTGACAGGTGCCACACGCCTACTCCCCCTGCCAACCTCCTCGAAATTCGGAATACGCCCTTCATTTAGGCCTGTTTAATATAGAAGGTGTGCCTCAAGGCACGGAAGTCGGTACAATATCGCATAGCCTCACTACGTAATAGCTTTTCATTATTGGATGTTCGCCTGCCAGTGGAATGTGAATACCGAAACAAAAGTATCAATACTCTGAAAAGGATCAAACGTTTCGCGACCAGAGCGCATATAAGTTAATCTATTTGGACCCGTGCAAACGTTCATACATCATTGTTTAAAAAAATAGCTTTTTATAGGAACACAGCTAAGAACGGTTAGACTCTGCCTGAATCGTGGGTCACATCATAAGAAAACTGCTATGCATAGGTAATCATTATAATATTGCAAAGGGTTTATTAACAAACAAACAAACTTAGACCTTTAAGATAAAGTTGCAAATATAATATCAAATACTAGATACGATTTTACAATTTTTTTCGAGATTCTGCTTGTTTCTCTCTACCCTTGTTTTCGGTTACATATACACAAGAAGCTAAGTCCCCACAAATATAACATGTGGATCTTTGAAGATTCAAAAAAAACCATACTGCAGTTTACAAACTAAGATGCGGACTGGTAGTCAGGTTTGGATTGGTCTGAGACGCACTGTTTACTATATATATCAACGTCGGAAACGTGTGTTGCAGTGTAATGGTAGTCGCGAGGGTGTCTCATGAATTTTTCGTAGTGTAATCAACACATTTCGTCGCTATTCTAGAATACTGTTGTAACCAGAATACCGAAAATTTGGATATTACGGTGAAATGTTCAAAATTCACCTTTTATGTAGAATACGTCTGAATATCTGAAACTCTATCACTTGCCAGTAGGTAGCAGGTACATCGTCATTTCACGGGCAGAGAATGGCATTTTCTGGGATGCATTAATGTTGCAACATCAAACACGTCAGAGAAACAAGAAAGATATAAGTCGCATGTTTTGTAACGTATTTGTGTTCTACAGCAACATTTGTGAATAATGTTTTAAGGAATGCTATGTTATGAACATCGCTGAATTTCGAGCTGAATTCCCGAAATAACAACCACCCTTGCACTCAAATTACGAGGATAGTTTGTAGAATAATGTTGAAACTCAAAAGATCCTAATACATTCCAAAATAACCCAAAATTCAGTTAAAAAACTTTCATTTTAATAAACTTAAATGAAATAGTAAGCAACTTTTTGATACAATTTGTAAGTCGATATCACTGATCTTTGATTAATAGGAAACGAATGAACTTGTAGAAAAATTAAATTACGCTTTCTAGAAAGTCTTTTGCATTGCAACAATTTTCCAGAAACCAATTATTTTGCGTGTGTTTGATACATTTTTAGGTCATTCACTGTCCAGCAGTAGCATATTATGAGCTTTCTTGTGAGTGGAGTCCTATTAATCATACAAATCCGTCAACATAAGTTTAGTCCGTCAGCTTAGTCAGCTTCCGTCAGCTTAGTATTAATAACATAAAAGAGATATGCGAAACGAAGAACATGAACTAGCAGAAAACAGTAGAATGGAACAGGCAACAGAGCCGTTGCCTTTCGAAGACAGGCAGTCTTTCAGGCTACTAAGCGAATCATATTACCTAAAGAGAAATTGTTTTTGTGCACTTTTTTCAAGCTCGTCGAGCTGGAGTAGAGGAACATCTGGCCATTCTTCTTCGGGTCTGTTGACGGTTATGTTGTCCCGCAAAAACGACTCGGGTGACCTTGTGTAGACTATCAAGATGTAATATTTTTTTAATTTATTTATATTCTATTTGGCAAAATATATCACAGAATACTTTAATGAAACTTTCTAAAGTGATTTCGAGTGATTCACTCGGCAAGTACTGGAAATTAAAGTTTCATGAATTTGTGTTGATTTAAAATTAGGGAAAGAGGAATATGATTATTCTTTGGAATTTGAGACTTTCTTGTTGTGTTTCGTTTTAAGGAGATTTGAATGTATCATTGGAAATCCTTGATTTGATGCTGAGTTGAACTGTTTATTTTACAAATCAAAATGGGCTGTTCTTGGGCAGGATGTTAACAGTGCAAAACAGTTTGAGGATAAATTAGTTTGTCTGTAGGTATGGTATTTGAAGTTCGTTAGACTAATGGGTAGTGTTGTGTAGTGTTAAGTGTTAATGTTGTGTGTACGAGTATATGATAATTTTGTGTATATATATATATATATATATATATATATATATATATATATATATATATAAGGTTTGCATAGTGCTAATATTGCTAGATGCAGTGTCTATTAAAGCTAGATAGGAATAATATGTTAATATAGGTTTGATAGTTCTTTTGTAAAGGAGTAATTTGGTTTCAATTTCTTACGGATATGATGAATTTATGAGTGCAAATTATTTGACAGATTTTGCGGTTGACTTTTGTGGAACCGACTTAGTGTGTTGTTTCCATGTAAATGTATTGTGTTCCATGTATTCTAAGACAGGCACGACATTGTTTGACCAGTCTAGTTGGAGTTATTTATTCTTAGTTATGGTGATTTTTTTTAGTTTGCGAGGAAATATTAAGATAGAATATACATTGCATAATCAGAAATCTTATAAATTTGAAAACTATGCACAAAGCTTAAATTTTCGCAGTATTATCGCATTATTGATGAGAAAATGACCAATCTTGAAAAATAAGTATACCTCACGTGTTTTAAAGTTTGACATCTAATATTCATCAGTCAAAATGATGAGTGAAAAATAGAAGCACATTAGCTCAATTGACAGTACAAATTGAATTTTCAATCAGTGAAGCTCCAAATTACGGTGGAATAAAAGATGACATTAATTAATATGTTCCACCACATTTACTGTCACAGGAAGTTTACTCTATTATATTCATGCACTTTTCAGCATATTACGATAATTTGTTACTCAAAACCGAAAATGCCGGGTAATTAATAAAATTAACTCTGGCAGTATAATAACAGGCATGAGGTTCGTACAAGATAATTAAAGTATAATTTTGTTGTGAGTTTCCAGATTGATTGATTTGCTTCGTGTTTCCAGGTGCGTCAACTGCATGACCATTAGTCGCGTAAGTGTAGTGCGTGTTCTCAGGTAGTGGCAAAGTCCATTCCCTGCTGGATGGTCAGATCCGCCGCCTATCTATTGCTTGCGGGATTTTGAGGTTATCCACATCCAGGTATCTCACATCAGCACTCACATTTATACGAGCCAATAATTGGTTAAAACGTGCGCCTAATAAGATTGGAAAATACACGGCTTCCGTTTCAAAACGAAAGTAATACTCCACTCAACGCGATACAACGTGTACCGTCTTTGATCACCCCTAACTTTCTGTTAATTGAATGTTCTTGTGATGAGTTATTGGCTTAATAGCGTAAGATCGTCTGCTCCGTGCCAAGGGACTAGGTCGCCTGTGACAAGTTAGCAGCATCCTGTCCTTGGAGTATAGGAACAACAAAAGAAGGAGCATACAAGGCCGTTTCATTCGATATACGTTACTTGACGATGCATGTCCTCTAGAACCAACAGTTTAACAAAATGTTAAAAAAATGCCTGTCAGTTAAGAGCTCGAATTCATGGATTTAAAAAATCTATTAATTGAATTTCTTTGATGTGAACTTGTTTTTTATGCGAGTTGATAATGACATATAAAACATTTTTACAGAGATTATAAACAGTTTGTGCAATTATATAATTACATTATTGGAAAATTCAGTGTGTATTCATTCATTATTTTCTTCTTTAGGTGCAATACGCGTCATATTACCGACCTGCAGTTAAATTTAATTTTTAGCCATAGTCTGGATTCGATATGCCATCACTTATAAAACATGAGAATGAAATTATAACTAGAATCAAAACCTTAAACTTTGTTATATTATTCCAATAAGCTGTTGAGATGTTTGTGACTGGAGAAAATCTCCAAGCCATGCACCCTATGGTCAACAAACTTCTTTCTGGTATTACGCGTCCAGATGTGTACGTTTTATGCCTAAAATAGAAGTCAATATTGCAGTTCAAGTTGGATTAATCACATACCCATAGTATACTCATAATTTTTATACACGTTTATTTCCAATTGCCAACATTTGAAATATTCATCCTAACTGCTTTACATCTAGCAAATAAAATTATTAAATATTTTATGATGTATTCACTACTGTATCACAAATATTGTGTTTTTACTTTCACAATTCATGAAAATATCTCCAATTAGATTTACATCCTTTACAAATTATTGCATTTTTTTGGTTTCAGTTAGTACTATGCATTTTTATTTCAAAACAAAACCTTACTTTTCAATTAGACTATTTTATTTTCGTACAAAATATTGGCATCAAGCATGGCGAAACTTAAAATAAACATTCGACCTCAAACTAATTCTTTATTATTATTTCTAAAAGAAATGCTGAGTCCCATACAACTGTAAGAAATTCCCAGTGTTTTGGGGCTATTCTTTTTAATTCACTTATTAAATTACAGAGATAAATGAATTTTCCTCTCGAAACTCCACACAATACATTTTGTAAAGTTATTTTTTCCTGCAGTATATTCCGAAGCGCGCAATTCTCATGTATCAAATTAATACTGGAAAGAGATCCCACCGGATATGAAACAATTCCGGTTGTTGGGCGATTCCTTACACTATGGTTAATTCTTCCTCTACACTGTATTCCTTGCCGCTTTCGTAGTAATCTTTCCAATGTTATCTTTTCGAGAAGTTATAATTGTCTTTACGTGTTTTTACACTTTTCGTTTAGAAAACTTTTCTTAATGGCAGTTCTTTAATTCAATCCCAAACTACAGAGTTTAAGTTGAAAAGAAAGAAACGAGATTTACTGAATTTAATTGCTGTACCTTTCTCCGCCAACTCATTTACTGCGTGATTAAAAATTACCAACAGAATATTCTTTGTTCTACCCCAAACATGGAGATTGGCAGATATTCAAGCAAGGCACATTAATCTCGCTCACATAAGGATGATGCACATATCAGATGTGTACAGAAGTGGGGATTGTGGAACGAAAATGCAACGCTATCTCTTGTCATTCAGAATTGATTATTCTATTAGCATTTATCTGCAATCAATTGTAATGGGCGATTTTAACGAGAAAATACAATTCGGATGTAATGGAATAGATATGCAAAAGCTTCGCAGGTTGAAAATAAATTAACAGCGTCCCTCCCCTCCTCGCATCCAATCACACGCAACAAACTCCCGTTTGAAAGAGTGTTCGGAAATGGAAAATTGGAATTTAATTTAAAGGGATGCATTCACTCGCACGAGAAAAAATTGTGATGCGCAGGAAGAGGCAATCGATCATAACCGACAAAATTTTGGAACTCAACATTAATAATGTTCGAAGTTTGGCAAAACACACACAAAAAAAGACTTTTTTTCACATCGATTATTAATTTTTGTTTTCTTTGCAACCGAATTTATTTTGTTGGGCTTTCGCGTCGTTTCAGTCAAGTGCAAAAGGACACTGTGCACACAAAGTACATGTTACAAAAGTGTTATTAGCAATGTCATCTTTCCCCCCTCATAAGACGTGAGCTCAAATCATCAAATAATTGTTTTACCTTAATTGTTTTCTACTTATAATCGAGATTAACGTAGTTTTCACCTAATTTTTAATTAAAGGCTTCGATTTAAAAAAAATATTTTTATTTCTTCTTCACACTCTACAATAAATTTTATTTTTGCTTCCAGATTCAGGCGTCTCTCTTATGTGCCTTCTACCTGTGTCTTTGGCTGCTAGGTCGAGACTATGATGACCCGCGTGAGTAAAAATACAATTAAATGTATGTTAATTTTAATTATTTTGACTGAACAGTGATAAACAAACAAAACGATATTTCAATAAAATTAAAATAAGAAAAAAAATACTGTACAGAACAATATTACAGTACAAGTACCGAAATATTACAGTACAAGTAATGAAACAGAGTTCTCATGTGTCTTTTCCGCGAAATATGTTTCATTCTTAAAAAAACAACGGTGATATCTCGTGATATCTGGTCAATAAAACAAACACAATTAAGTTATTGTGAATTGTTTCTCATGCAAGTATCACATTCTTTATTTGTTTTAATATGTTTCTAACACAAGTATTGAGAGCGTGGGAGAAATAAAATACGCATTTTACGACACATTAGAGAAAACTCATTTTTCCATTCGGTGTAATATTTGTAGACTTCAGGCTACAGCTTTCCGTCTCACATACACCTTTGAAAAAAATAAAGAGCTTCCCTCCCTTGATATGTAAAAAACTCTCATTTTGCTATTCATCAGGCTCACTCTCCCATCTAACCTCACAAATTTCGCTACGCTCCTTTCAGCAAATAGCGGAGAAATGAGGTATTTCTTGGGCGACCAAACAGCCGATTTGAATTTAGCTCAGAGGCGCCATTTAGGCTTGAGATTTTTACATGCAAGTAAATCTACTAACATGGGACAGCGGCTTTACTTCCCCTCCGAAGCAAGGCATACGAAAGATTTTTTCGCCCTTAAAAATCCACGTCGTCGATCGGTTTTGAACCCGCCAACTTGGGTATAACAGTCCGACACGCTAACCATTACACCATCGCCTCACCACTATTTTTAAAAAAATCTGTACTGCTATTAAAAAAGTATAACTTCTTGAATAAAACATTTTATTTCAGACCACGTAAATCGTCACCGGAAACAATAGAAAAAGGTTTAGATCCTACCTTCGGTTGGTTTGGCTCTGCGTTTACTAGTCAGCCAGTGTTCTCTCCTTACAAATATTATACCAAAACACTATCGTCCGTTTGCTCTGTTTGTGGTGTCGACAGTCCATTGTCACAACAATGCAGCTGCCACAGGGGGCTGTGCTTGCTGGCAACGGTTGCGCCGTATTGTGTCCAGAACATCGCCTTGATGCCGCTAGGGAGGAACCATACATTAACGTCATCGAGCTACCCAGGGGGGGGGGACGAGATTAGTTTCGACTTGACAGATGGTGACGTCACAACGCAGATGGGAAAGCTCCCCCATTTCGTCACGGATGGTATCAACACATCCACGCCAAAGCGAGTGCACCGCAGACATTCTCCAGAAAAACGATAATTTTATATTGTGCGCTTGTTGACGATTTTTGTAAGTTAAATAAGCCTCCCTAATGTAGGTTTTTATTTCAGTTTGACCATGTACAAGTTACTTTTGTTAATTGGCCTAGGTGGATCCGGCAATTCATTTCTATTGCAATGTATTATATTGTACTTCATACGCTACTGATCACCTGATTGTTAATCACGTTTAACGCTACGCTCCGCAAAATTGTCAATAGACGAAAGACTTTCTCGGAAGAGTGGTTCCGTCGCTCTCTCTCTCTCTCTCTCTCTCTCTCTCTCTCTCTCTCTCCGTGGCTTTCCGTATCTATTTCCGCCTCTCTCGGTCTCTCTGACTCTCTTCTGTTTGTTTCTCTCTCTGCGTCTCTGTCTTTCTCGGTCTTCCTCTCTCTCTCTGAACATGTCTCTCCCGAGAGAAATTTCAGGATCTCAGAGCTTAATAATCGTACTGCAGAGTGCAGCGGGTTGCGTAGAGAGCGCCGTGGCATAAAGCGTCCTGATCTGGGCTCTTGGTTCTACTTGAAATCATCATCAACGCGCGTCTATCTGCACATTCCGGCCGTACTACGCTTATATTCTTCTCAGACGTGTAAACAATAAGTTGGCAAAGTTTTATCGCAATCGGATGTACGGTAGGGCAGCGCATTAAGCACGAACCAAAACAACATTGTTTAGTTGTCATTTAGCAGCTTCCTTCTAGAACAATAAACTACATATCAATGCACTTGCATCTTAAACCTTGAAATTATGAAATTGTTCAAAAACACATTTTCAGAATGTATAGTCTTGGAGAAAAGTTACCGTTCATAAGCATTTCAATACCATACACTGTATACAGAAGGCAAAGATCGTTCTGAATCTACATAAACATTACGTTACCAAATGAGCTATTATTATTTTCCTTATTAGTTATCTTAGAATACTGCTAGGTTAGTCCCATATTGTACAGACATTTCATGAGAATTTAAACATCCAGCATTGGTTAAATCGTAACGAGAGCGACAAATGATCAGAACAGAATTATTCAGATATGTAAACAAGAAAATGCTATTCTAGTCTACTATCTGATCTATATCATGTTTATCAATCGTGCTATTGATATTTTTAGTTGATAGCTCCGATCAACGAGAAAGTTCTTCATTCCATGAAAAGTAAAGTGCTGCACTCCAGGATCCTTGTGAACTGTGGCATTATTCTCTCGTTCTACAAGCACTATGTAATTATTTCCAAATTCAGTATTATATCACAATGAGAACGGCAAATGACTGTATACATGCCTCTGACAACGTCACAAAAGAAGCAGGTTCATCAAATACGTAATTGTTCATTTCTTTTTTTTTTTTTGTTTATTTCAATCTACAAGATATTTTGTCATTTCATGAAAATTGAAGTGCTGAACTCATAATGCACGGGAATAGTTGGATTATTCCCGCATTCTACTAGTGAGTAAGCATTTCCAAATCCATTATTTTATCGCAATGAGAGCGACAAATTACTGAATTCGTGGCTCTGACTACGTCACAATACCAGCTATTGACGAGCTAAACGGGCGTAGCTGGCGTTCAGGGACTGACCATAAATTAACCCCCCTTCCCGCGCAACGGGAACAAGGGTATTAAGACCGTATGGTGGGGTGCTGACGTCACGCCATTGATGTATGCGCTCTACGTGACGTCAGACGCTGTAGATTTGAAGCACGCCCTCCTTCCAATGGTTTCCCACGTTCCGTTTTCATTTTGCATCCAACTTCTCGCCCCTCGTTAGAATAAAACTATTTTTGGAGCCCCCTGAAAATCTGAAGAACCGATAATGGGGTAGGTTCGGGTCGAGCCGCGCCCACAACTGGCAAGAGCTCGGGTTAGGTTTGGGCAGAGTTGGGGGAGTAATGAACGACAGGCCCTCATGCGCAGAATAGGCTAATTTTGTGGCACAATCCACACCGTGGCTCACAGTCCGAAAAATACATTGTGGCGTCGTTAACACGAGGGCCAGAACCGTTAGGTTGGTGAAAGTACGCTGCGGGGGAGGAAGGGGTTGAGCCTGAACATCCGGGAGTTTGCGCTCGGGCGGTTGACTCAGGTAGTGCCGCAGAGCCAAAAATACCGGAGGCTGTAAACTCCGAGGATGCTGCCGACGAGCCTCGTTTACGGAAGCAGGCAGCCAACCCTAGAACCCTGTGTGGGGGCGTAAACCAAGGTTGGCCTGCGAGTCTATCTATGGAACAGTGGTGGGGGTGTCAGCCTCAACTATTTAACGCGGCGCCATCTGCGCCCGCGTTCTCATTCAGTTTGCATCGGGAAGCTTGTACGTGTGTACAAGGGGTGTAGGAGTGTGGGCGAGATGTCCGGAGAGTAAGGGCCAGACAATCTCGCGTGCTGTAGGCACACGGTCGCCACGACCGGGTTAAATTTTGGCGTCAGGCCATGTGACGGTAATTGTCACGGGACCGAGGTCCGACACCGCGCATCACGCGTGGCTTGTGTTTTCTGCGGTAAAGCAGTGTTCTGAAAGGAAAAGGTTGCCGGAGTGTTTTAAAATTAGCAATTCATTTTAACTTGTACATAATCTTTGAATGTATTATTTTTATTTTGTTATTGAAATTTATTTCTTATTTCACTACGTCACAATATCTTACATTCTGCTGTGGTTCCAGCCCAGCGCGCCGAACAAAGAAAAGTTCGTTTGAACTAGTTCGTTCATAAATGACACATCTCAAATCTCTTGCAATCGTCATTTTACTAATTACACGATGAAAATGTAAGTTGTAACTGTAATTGAGTATAATATTTGACAAGTAACTGTAATCGAGCCCAATTTCTTTTTTTAACGTACTTTTCCCATCACTGCATTTGGGTAATGCAACATGATCAGTACGATGTAGAAATATTCCACTTGAAAGATCTATTCTCTCTAATGGATTTGCTCAAGAGGGGCTCCCTTTGTGCAGATATATTAGAAAGATTTTAGGGATTGGGCATCCCTTTTTATTTAGAGGCTGTATCTCGTTTTTCTCCATCTAACCGTCAACAATGCAACAACATACACGGAATCTTATGGACAATGAGAACACGATCTTTAATACAACGCCTCTACGCAAATTTTAGAATTATTCATTTTGAACCGTACAATTTCCTGTATTACTTTCTTAAAATATTATTTTTTTTTAATTTCACATTGATTTTATGGCGTATAACAGACACAGTTTGAAGAAACTCAGGCATTAAAATCGTATTTGTGGACATGTAATCAGGCCCTACAATCTCGTCACGTTACGTCACGTTACGCTGGTTCTGGCAGAGCCTTATCGAATGCACATGCGTGCTCAAATGCCAAGTGTTTCAGCAAACACCGTCTATGCGATTTGCTCTGTTTTGTAGTAAACACCTAGCAAATATAATGCAACATCTAAATTACCAGTTCTTCGATATAATTACATATAATTGAAACACTAGTGTTTCAATTATATGTAATTGTAATTTTGTGGTACATTTGCAATCAAAAATACATTTATACATATTAGCACACTACATGCCTTGTAACTCTCCATTTTGACTCATCGTAAACAGAGTTATCAGATAACATCAGTGGAAAGAGTTGCCACCATCAAGAAAGCACAAAACGACCAAAAACTTAAACTCAGGCTATCTTTAAGCGATATAATTAAGCCGCTCGTCCCCCACAACGATAAATTGATTAAACCTCCATTTCATGTTAACACCCTACTCTTAACTACGTAACTCTCAACGCAATTACAGAGAGGAACCGAGAAAAAGAGAGGGAGGGGGTATTTCATAATATCAAACTGAAAGCGGTAAGTCGCGTCGCAGAAAGCCATAAAGCGAACTGTATGCAATTTTAATTAAATCTGTCCAATGTAACTCGACGCTGCTACTCAGTCATGTAACAGCCTCCTATTAGATTCGCAAGAGATGCCAACTTCTTGGCACCGGTCCAGAGGCAACTCTCCAAAAAGGGAAATGATTTACAACGCCGAATTTTTTCCTCGCCAGCATTCGCAAAACGAACAAAATCCTCTTTAGAAATTTCAGCAAAAAAGTGCTAAAAATGTGAGCATTGAATTCTTGATGCACAGACATTCCACTTTTTTTCTTTTCATTATTTTTAAAAGGGCGGTCCGAATCATTTTCACTAATATAGTGGTTTCTCGGAAAACAAACTGCAATAAAATAAGTATTACGTGTTGAAAACGACAATGGATATTAAGTGAAAATGTATGCAGAAGTTAATCATTAAATCCTCAACTATTATATCGTTCATATGTTGTGTTATTTATATAATTGGTAATAGTATCTCTCACCATGTACACATATAGGGCAAACAATGTTTCCAATTACGATCTGGTCTAGGTAATACTGATGTAATATTTTTTGTTTCCTTCGGGAACTTTTGCCCGCTTCAAGGGATCCCGATTTCGACTAGCCACGCCTGGTACCCACTATGTCCCTCAAGGGTACCCATATTAGCCATTACACTTGACACTCACACGCTTGCTGTGTCCTCGGTCTGTAGTCAGTAGGCGCACAAGACTTTCCGCGACAACACACATACATACATACATACATGCAAGACAAGGGACAAACAACCATGCCCACGGCGGGACTCGCACCCGCGACCCGCAGTGCGAGGCGTTGCGTCGGCACACTCTCTAGCCACCTCGGCCATCCAGGTCGGTTTTACATCGATGTAATTTGTTTTTCGGCCTATACGCCCACTCGGACCACGCGTATATCCTGTTTCAGCAGGCGCAAATACATTTCTGGGGGGGTCAGCATTTGAGCTGAATCCCTATTTCTATCTAAGGTTGTTAGCCCTGGGTGTAAGGACGATGAGATGATAGTGAGGGATGAACAAACGGCACAGACATATAGATGTACACAAATACAACAATTTCGGAGGCGGGACTCGAACCCGCGGTCTTTTGGACCGAGATCGCGACGGCACCACTGCCTTGACGATCTCGACCATCCGAGAATCATTAATGTAATATTGTATAGATTAAAATAAAATAGAATAAAAAATAAATTAAGTAAAAAACAAATAAAATAAAATGCAATAAATGAGAAGGGAATTGGTGGATCGTTAACAAAGGAGCTTAAAAGAAGGCACTGCCAACCTAACGCAAATTTAAAGAGCCCCCGTGTAAAGGCGTTCCCTAGCCCCTCGGCGCGAGGCCCCTGGCAGTGGGGTGGCACGGAGTGTGGGGTGCCTGGTGGCTTGTTAGTGACGGGGTGGCCGCGCGGCGCGCTGTGCGCAGCCCTGCAGGCGCTGTGCGTCGTCAAGGCCCTGCACAACGCCTGCGACCTCGTCTTCGACGCGGCCCTCATCGTGGGAGTCATCTCGGTGAGTCCCAAACGCGCGGCACTTTCATTAGCTTCATCGCAATACACTTGCTTCGCTCGCCCTCTACCCCTCCACTTCGCTTCGTTTCACGCACTGTCGTTTAACCTGTTTCTCTCTATCTACCATTTAATCTCTTTCCACGTCCTACCATTTAACCCCCTCTCTCTCCTTAGCATTTAACATATTTCTCCATCCCTAGCATTTAACTCCATTCTCTTTCTCTACCCTTTCAGTCTGCCAACCAACATCTCTTTGTCTTCCAACCTGTATCTCTTTTTGTCTTCCAACCAGCATCTCTTTTTGTCTTCCAACCAGCATCTCTTTTTGTCTTCCAACCAACATCTCCTTTTTGTCTTCCAACCAGCATCTCTTTTGTCTTCCAACCAGCATCTCTTTTTTGTCTTCCAACCAGCATCTCTTTTTGTTCTTCCAACCAATCGCATCTCTTTTTGTCTTCAAACCAGCATCTCTTTTTGTCTTCCAACCAGCATCTCTTTTTGTCTTCCAACCAGCATCTCTTTTTGTCTTCCAACCAGCATCTCTTTTTGTCTTCCAACCAGCATTCTTTTTGTCTTCCAACCAGCATCTCTTTTTGTCTTCCAACCAGCATCTCTTTTTGTCTTCCAACCAGCATCTCTTTTTGTCTTCCAACAGCATGCTCTTTTGTCTTCCAACCAGCATCTCTTTTTGTCTTCCAACCAGCATCTCTTTTTGTCTCTTCAACCAGCATCTCTTTTTGTCTTCCAACCAGCATCTCTTTTTGTCTTCCAACCGCATCTCTTTTTGTCTTTCCAACCAGCATCCTTTTTGTCTTCCAACCCAGCATCTCTTTTTGTCTTCCAACCAGCATCTCTTTTTGTCTTCCAACCAGCATCTCTTTTTGTCTTCCAACCAGCATCTCTTTTGTCTTCCAAACGCTGTATCTCTTTTTGTCTTCCAACCTGTATCTCTTTTGTCTTCCAACCTGTATCTCTTTTTGTCTTCCAACCTGTATCTCTTTTTGTCTTCCAACCTGTATCCTTTTTTTGCTCGCATCCAACCACCATCTCTTTGTCTTCAACCACCATTTCTTTCTCTTCCAACCATCATTTCTTTTCTTCAACCACCATTTCTTTCTCTTCCAAACCACCATTTCTTTTCTCTTCCAACCACCATTTCTTTCTCTTCCAACCACCAATTTCTTTCTCCTCCAACCACCATTTCTTCTCTTCCAACCAGCACCTGTTCCTTCCAACCACCATCTGCTTTCACGTAGGATCCAGCTCTTTGTCCCCATCTCTTTGTCTTCCAACCAACATCTATGCCTAGCGACCCTCTCGTTCTCTCTCTCTCTCTCTCTCTCCTCTCTCTCTCTCTCTCTCTCTCTCTCCCCTCCCCGCCGCGCCCTCGTGACTGCGTGCGTGCGTGTGTGTGTGCGCAGGGGCGCGCGGGCCCGCTGACGGCGTGGCTGTGGGCGACGGCGCGTGGGCTGGCGCTGACGGCGCCTGCCGGGGCTGGTGGCGCCGCTGGCGGCCGCTGCCCTGGCCCTGGGGCACGCGCCGCCCGCCGCCCTCGACGACGCCCACGCGCGCGACCACCGCCGCCTCGCGGCCTTCGCCGCCGCCGCTCTCCTGCTGCTCGGCGCCGTCCAGACAGGCGAGTACCCTCCTCCCCCCCCCACACACACACCGGGGCACTGCGAGGCGAAGGAGCGTTCTAGCCAGGGGCTTCCATGGGACGAGTGTGGGATGGGCATGGGAAGAGACCGAACAGAGAACGGGGAAAGAACGAAAAGGGAAGGGGGAATGAACGAAATGGTAACGGGAAGGGAACGAAAAGTGAGCGGGAAGGGAACGAAAAGGTAATGGGAAGAGAACGAACATAGAATTGGAAAGAAATGAAATCGGAGGGGGGAATGATGGAAATGCTAACAAGAAGGGAACGAAAAGGGAAGGGGGGAATGACCGAAAAGGGAACAAAAGGGAACGGAAAGGGAATGAAAGGGGAACGAAAAGAGAACGATAAGGAAACGAAAAGTAAACGGGAAATGAATGAGAAGTGAATGAAAAGGGAACGGAAAGAAAACGAATCTGTTTGATTACTGCAAGTCTGAACGACTTGCAGGCCCTGGAATTTCTGCGGCACCCTTGGAAGGAATCATTTGTACTACTGATCCTAGCGGGTGGGAGAAGCAAAGAGCGGGCCTGATGGCCTGAGTCCCGCCACGTAAAATAAGGCATCAATTCAATTCAATTCAATCCAATTCAAATATTCCCTTTTTTCGGGCATGTCAACTTTTGAGATGAGTTTTGAATTAGAGGAAGGTGGCTGTGTCACTTCTGGAAAGCGAGATTCGGTACCGTCCTACACTTTGTCTTGTTTTGTTTTTCTCCTGTTGCCGAAACCGGTACGTTTTAACACAGAGGGATTGAAAGAGGGGGGCGAGGGACGGACCCGTGTGGCGGGAGCGACAGATGGGAAGACATACGAGAAGAGAGATAGCACCCAAGAGGGGATGGGAGAGAGGGCGAGTGAAGGGGTGAGAGGGAGTGAGAAAGGGTGAGTTAAAGGGAGAGAGGGAGTGAGAGAGGACGTAGGAGATGACGAGGGGGAGGCGGAGGTGTTGGCGACAACGAGAGAAAGAAGGCGACAGATGAGAGAAAAAGATACGGAGAGAGAGGGGGAGAGAGGGAGGGAGAGGGAGGGAGAGGGAGGGAGAGGGAGGGAGAGGGAGAGAGAGGGAAAGAGAGCGAGGGGAGAGAGAGGGTTGAGAGAGAGAGGGTTGAGAGAGGGAGGGATAGAGAGCGAGGAGAGAGAAGAGAGAGAGGGAGGGAGAGAGAGAGGAGAGAGAGAGGAGAGAGGGAGGACAAAAAGAGCGAGAGCAAGAGAAGAAGAGGGAAATAAAGTTAGTAAAAGTGAGCGAATGGATGAGAGTGTGAGAGAGAAAGTTAGAAGTGTGCCCTGAGGATTATGTGAACACCGCCTTCGCAAAGTGCACTCACCGAATGCATGGAGAACCCTCACCGGCGACCCAAGCGCCGCGAGCGCGCTCTGCGGCCTCTCGCTGTACTCACCTGCGAACAAAAGAGAGAGCAATCAATAACAAACAAATGCAGACTGCTCGAAATAAACCACAACCACTGACAGCTTTACGCTGAATTGTTTTGTTTTTTAAATAGAGTTTGAATACATGACGAGGTATCTGAAAAGAATCGTCTCTAAATTGGGCTTTCCTATTCAATATTGTTCCGCTTTTCCGGTTATATTCCTTTAATAACTGTATTATCAATATTGTAAAACACATAAAAATGCATATTTCTGATTATTTCATGCACAAAATTTGCATGCAGTAAATTTTCGTTGTGAATAATACAAAACAATTATTCGTCCTAATACCAAGAATTAGCACAATCCGTGAACATTATCTTGAGATCGCGTTTTGAGTTATTTGAGAGTAGTGGGTATTTTGCTTATTTCACCGGCAGAACTATCAAATCTAACTTGCAGTTCTGTGTCGTTACAAATAGTTTCTATTTCATGGATCTTATTTTTATTAAAAACCATTAACAACGTTCGTTTTTATCTTTTACATCAAATTAAACTATTTTGGAAAAGAAGATATGTAGGGATTTCAGGGCTCAAGAAATGTGCACGAATAAAGTCATTGTAAGGACTCAACAGATATTACAATAAATTAATTAGATCGATAACAGGGAGACTTTAAAAAAATGACACATTTCTATTGCATTAGTAGTACAATAGAATCCATCGCACTGAACATAATATTTTATTTTGCTTGAGGATAAAACATTCTTACGTTACAAAAACAAATAACGAAATAAATGATAGTTTACATAACTCTAATATGTGAAGAAATGCAACGCTAGAGAGATAAATAGAAGACATTCATGAGTAGAAAATTGTATTCCTCCAGGCAACAATAGAAGCTGTGGAGGCTAAATCTCTCCACTCGTAAATATAATATTGATTTTGCTATCTTGTGCCGACATTTAACAATAATAAGCCACGTGAAAGATCAACTGAATACTGCACGTATCTCTCAATGAACGGCACCAATTGCGTAGTTCTAAACGGACCACGGAGTTTGAAAGACCCTTTCCATAGCATTGGTGAGAGACCTGCAATTTCTGCAGGGAGAACGGTGGTCGGTCTGTAATTTGCAGCGTTAATCAACCACAAGGCACACCCGAGTGCACATCCACACGATCTAACGTGCTCTCTCACACGTTGACGGACGATTCGATCTCGGTAATGGATATGCTGGCTGGTCCGGGTGGGACAATCCGATGGAGCTAACTGAATCGTCAGATAAGGATTGTGGGTTAGATTAAGGCGCCAATCTTGAATTTTTTGGCGTCGATTTTACGCTTGCATATATTGCTTATATTTTTCTGACCATTTGGGCCGGTGATGTGAGTATAGTACATCATCATCATCATCATCATCATCATCATTATTAATTATTAATTTTATTATTATTATTATTATTATTATTATTATTATTATTATATTATTATTATTATTATTATTATTATTATTATTATTATTATTATTATTATTATTATTATTATTATTATTACTATTACTATTATTTTTATTCTTCCTCTACTTCAGGACTCAAGATGTTTTGAGTTTGTTGAATATACTGTATAATCCCCTCCAGGTTGCAACCAGTTTCCTATGAGGCAGATTTAGGAACTGTCTGAGGCTGATTTAGGTCTGTGCTTCTACACTATCTCGCGCAAAGTGTTGGCTGTTCAAATAAAGTAATTTTGTTGTCATTATTATTACTATTATTGTTTTGCTTATTGACCATTTCTAACCACGCTACACGTTCTCTACCGCTTCCAATCACATTCTATCGCGGAGAGAAATTAACGTTTCAATATGAGGATCAGATTTTCGGCTGTATTCCTTTCTAGGACACGGTTGTCAAGCTTTGAATTATGAATTATGAGGTGTTAGGATAATGAAGAGATGTGATCGTGGCCTTTTTGAACCAACCCAGCATTCGCCTGAATGACCGAGTGAAACCATAAAAATCCCGGTCAAGATGGCCGGCCCGGAGATCTATCCCAGGCATCTCGACAGTGAAGTCAGCGCCCTACGCACTAAGCCACTTCACTCTGTTGTTGTTGTTAATATTATTATTATTATTATTATTATTATTATCATTATTATCATTATTATCATTATTATCATTATTATTATTATTATTATTATTATTATTATTATTATTATTATTATTATTATTACTTCTTCAAGTCTCTCGCTTAGCGAGGTTCCTATAGCAGACACCGGGACCTTTGTAAGACCAAGGTGCCTGCTTCGCTTGCATCAGGCGGTCAGTTATATCAATAAAAACTTCCTAGCGATGCGTGCAGTACTCAGGAGAGCAGCCTTTTGCATTGTTTGAATGGGTCAGTTCCTAAGGCCAAGCCATGCAGACGTTGAAATTAGTTCTTCGGAGATCAGTCCATTTGCACAGATGACCATAAGAACTGCTTCAACAGGTTCTAACCGCCACATGTCGCTCACTTCAATAGCCAAGGCCTGATATTTTCGCTTCTTGTCGACAACAGAGGCAACTATATTTCGGTCTAAAGGTATAGCTATGTGGACTACAATCCCTTTCCGTTAAGCCTCATCAATCCATATGCCAGGTCTGTTGTCTTCAACCATTATTATTATTATTATTATTATTATTATTATTATTATTATTATTATTATTATTATTATTATCATAATAATCACATCCAGCAAGTGACCCAACTGCTACTATTATTAAGCATTATTTATAATTATTAAGCTACATTACAAATATATAACTATTTCTATTACTTTAGCAACCAATTTGGTTGCTAAAGTAACCCCCTGCCCTCGCGTCGGTTGCATCGCAGTGCAACGCTCGTTGGCGGTGTTCCGCAGGGCTGTCGGTGCACTTCTTCCTGGTGGTGCGTCGTCTGCGCAAGCGGCTGCGCGCAAAGGACCGCGTGGCGCCGCGGGACCCACCCCACCGCCCCCGCCCACGCTCCCGCCACCCCGGGGTGGTGGAGTTGGCGGCGGCGGAGGGGAGGTGCTGGTGCCGCGTCGGGCGTGGGAGCGCGGGAGCTGCCCGAGAAGGTGCCGCCCTCAGACGACGATTTTCTGGAACCGCGTGCTGCGGCGTGCGTCTTGACGCAGGTGAGCTGCTGCTGCCTGGGACATTCATTGCGCTGCGGGGGTTCGAATGTTTTTTTTGGTTATTATTTTACAATTTTCATTTGTATTTTTTATTCTATTTTTTTTTTGTATTTTTATTTTTATTGTATTTTTATTTTTTATTTTGATTTTTTTATTTTGTATTTTTATTTTTTATTTTGTATTTTTATTTTTTATTTTGTATTTTTATTTTTTATTTTGCATTTTTATTTTTTATTTTGCATTTTTATTTTTTATTTTGCATTTTTATTTTTTACTTTGTATTTTTATTTTGTATTTTTATTTTTTATTTTGTATTTTTATTTTTATTTTAATTTTTTGATTATGTATTTTAATTTTTTGATTTTGTATTTTAATTTTTTTATTTTTTATTTTATTTTTTTAGTTTAATTTTTTCAACGGAATGAGGTGGTCTGTTATCACTGCTGTCCCTCTGACTGGGAGGTCGTAGGTTTCCAGTCCCGACCGTGGCAGGATTTTCGACTTTTGCTTCGTCGAATTCAGTAGCTGTACGGATCCTAGGACCGTTACAGGATATTCGACACTAGCCAGATATTTTGGTAGAATTCGGTTGCTGGAAGGAGCAGAATTCTTGCGACCCGCTGCTCTGATCGATAGTTTTCCGTGGTATTTCCGATCAACACTACGGGAATGCCGGAGTAGAATCCTACCAAACGGTCCACGGATCGCGCGCGATCTTTCCTTCCCATTCTTTGTAATATCCTCACCCGTAACACACACTTACATTTACATGCACTATACTACCACACAAGCCGGGAGACCGGTAGGAAAGTCAGAGCCTATCCCGGCTGGAGCGGTTCTCCGCTAGTGGGAGATATCCGTGTCTCGCCAACGGTCGCCGGATCTCGCCATCCAGCGAGGCAAGATCGCAGCCAACTCTCAGCAAAACAATATGAACTACACTTACGGGACTAATGACCTTAGCAGTTGACGCGCCAGGAGTCATTAGTAATCAATCAATAAATCAATTCTGTTAGTGTCAGGATTCTCGACACCAGCTACATAGGTACGTCGAGTTCACCCGCTCTCTGCAGGAAACTTCTAGCGACCGGCTGCTCTGATCGGTAGTTTTCTGTGGTGTCTCCGATCAACACCAGGCGAAAGCCAGAGCAGTATCTTCAAAATCGGGCTAAGGACCGCACGAAATATTTCCTTCCCTTTGCTTGTACTATTCTCGTTTCTTACTTACACTCTCTTACATAAACACATTTCAGTAAACCGGTCGGGAGTTTAGAGCTTGTACCCGCTGACGGAGAGCTTCGCTCGTGGGAGATACCTGGATGGGGAAATCGCCGCAAGCCAACTGGTAATTCGGTGCCGAAAATTCCCATCAGGCACGGGTAGATCACTGCCATATCCAGCAAACAATACATAAACTACACTTACGGGACTAATGACCCTAGCAGTTAACGTACCAACCAACCACCCTACTGTTGTTCACAGCGTGTTTTCTGCCCACAGAGCCATCGAGCACGGAGCCCGAGTGCCGGCTGGTGGGCGAGGCTGAAGCAGTGGCGGTGGTGGTGTCAGCGGCGCCGGTTGCGGGGGCGGGGGCCCTGAGGCGACCCCCCACCCCGGGGTCCAAACGGCGGGGGCGCCGGGTGCCCCCCGGGCCGCCCCCCGGGTCGCCCCCGCCTCGGCCGCGGTCCAAGCCGTAACCCCGAGACCGCGGCTGCGAGCGCAGGGCAGAAGACTGCAAGGCGAGGCCCGTGGCGAGACAGCGGGGGACCCGGTTTGGATTGGCCCGTTTAAGGGGCTGGCTGAAGGAAACGTTCACTCGGGGTGAAGGCAGTGGCGGTGTCAAATCAGTGTTGCCACCACGTTCTGGATGAATTATCGTATTGTGGAACAAAAAATATCGATTTTTAAACAAAATTATCGTTCACTTTGGAGCGAGCCAGAATAGTCTGTATTTGATTATTTCTAGAAGTATCTGTTAGTTTTCCATCATTTTCATTTCTATTTCGTTTTATTTACACGTAATACAATAATTGCAGAAGACTGATATGGTTCCTGCCGTCATAGCTGAGGGCCCTCTATGGTTTGGTCCATTCAAGGGGCTGGCTGTAGAAAACGTTTACTCGGTGTGATGGCAGTGGTAGCATCAAAACGTTACCAAATCAGTGTTGCCACCACAGTGGTTAAATTATCGTAAGATGATACGAAAAATGTCGATATTTAAACAAAACTCTCTTACATTATTATATATTCAAAGATGTACAAAAAAGAAAAATTGTCAGGATTATATTTTTATTAATGGAGAAATATATTTAAAAAATTGAAAATACGTGACTTTATTTTACAAAATATACACTCATAACAGAAAAGCCTACATTGTTTTATTGAAACCATCTTACGTTTTGATGCGATTCAGAATTGTCTGAATTTCATTATTTAAAGAATTATCTCTTATATTTCCATAATATTTATTTCTATTTCATTTTATTTATATGCACGCAAAAATTGAAGAAATTATTTACAAACATTTGGATACGAAGCCTGTTTCTGTGAAGTTTATTTCCATCGTTTCCTTAAATATTGGGAAAACTAATGGAATTTATAACAATTCAAAACGTCTGTTTTTAATGTGAACATATTCAGAGATATTGTAAAAAACAGAAGAATTGTCAGGACTACGTTTTTTTAATTAATGGAGAAATATATAAAAAGAAATTTGAAAATAAATGTCTTTATCAAAACAGAATGAATAACCAAATTATTACCCCCAAACATGTTCAATCATCTACAAGTAAAATAGGACGTGAACGAAGAAACAATACGACTTTTCTATTTTGAACCTCCTGTTATTTTCCCACTTTATAAGATCTTTTTTTTATTTTCCCCCTGTATGTCTTAGCGATGATTCTAAAATGTTGAGTACAATCATTACATATTTATATTGAAACAACATTCCGTAATAGAAATTATCTTAGAAAATATATCATCCCACGGTTATAATTGTTCATCCTACAAAGAAAAAAACGATTGTACAAAAGATAATTATGAGCTAAGACGGCAACATGTTATAAGTCAGTTTTGAAAACATTTCAATGACATCAATTTTAAGCATCAAAATGTCATGAAAAATTACTCGGCGGCTTTTGTTTTATTGAAATTTTCCACCATTGTTTTTTTTATAAACTACAAGAAATGAACCATTTACCTGGTTCTAAACATTAACAAACAAGAGTGATTTATGTCATTTTGTGTCTCATGCCGTGAAAAAGTGACTTATATAGTTTTGCCATCTTAGGACAGAATTATCCTACGAGATGGTCACATTGGCTTACTCTTATAGTAGTAACCCGCCTAATTTATGTTCTATCGGACGAGTGGGAGCTCTACTGCTGTTCTCGGAGAACGTAGCAAACTGAGCGTGCTCAGTCATTTAGAAAATAAAGCTATCTAACTAGGGAAAGCTACCACTTACAGATTCTCTGAGGGTTTGTGCAAAAGAACATAATAACCATATGTGAACGAGTGTGAAATAATCGAAAATGATTCCATTATCAATAATCAATTCAAAACTTTTTTTCAGAGTTTGATTTTAAGAATTACCTGGCAACATTTCCTCAAAAAACATATCCGAAAATCAAAAATAACGAAGTTTCTGAGATTTTTCTATTATTTAAGACTTTTTTCAACATCCATACAATGAGGATTAAAATGTTCTTGTCTACAACCCCTGAATGAGAATATTTAAGAATCAGAACTTTGTATGAAGGTAGGAAACTGATTTTTTTGTTCACGTTATAATTGATTTATTTCGAATGTTTTCACATTACGTTTTTGAAAGCAATGATTTACATTTCAACAGTTCTTTATGATAATATTACGCATTGCTTAAAACCTTAGTACGCTCTTTCAAAGTGATTTGGCCCGAGTTTTTTTTTAAACCTAAACGTCATTTCCACTATTCTCACTTTTTTGGTTCAGAAACATAAACATATTTTTTTGCAGATAGTAAAGAACATGAAATGTGCAATATTGTCCCATTCAATGTGTATTTCAGTTCTTTAAATCTGCAATGCTTTCTTTCGTTTTTCGTGAAAGAAATGTAAGATTTCTAAATTCTAGGTAGTATTTTTATAGAATTTACTAGCATCACTTTATTTAATTTAAAAGTACTGTACTGTAAGATTGTTTGTATGTCTTCTCATACATAATAAAGGACATTTTTGTACTTTTAAAGTATAATTATTTTTTTATATTCCCAAAATTTTAGCGTGCCAACAGAATCGTTTTTTGCAATTTTGTCATTGGAATCGTAAGGCGTGCCCAAAAAACACTGAATACAAAGATTTATTATATTTGGATAACGTTTCAATATTTTAGCTAGCTTTTTGAGATCTTGTCCTCCAATGTGCCCAGCCCACCCGCTCTCTGCCTCGCCCCTAGCCCCACTCATTCCTTACTCTCAGGCTCTCCCACCCTCTCTCTTTAGTCCGTTCCAGCTTTCTCCCGTCCGCGTCCAGCCACGCTCACCAGCCCTCGATCGCGCCGTTGGAACGCAGTTCCTTAACACACGGACGCAGCGGGGGTTGCATTGAACAGATTTTTTTAAATAAAAAATAAAATAATGGTCAACCTCCTTGGCACAGGCGATTGCGGCAGCCGTCGTCTGCACCGAGGAGGCTGCAGGTTCGAGTCCACCGTGGGCTTGGATATACTTGATATCGTATCTTCGTCCATCATCATCATCATCATCATCATCATCATCCTATCACTACATTACACATTGTTAACAACATCGTTTGAACAATGGTTACAGCCGAAGAGACAGACCTACATAGCGAGTAAAGACACGTCAATCTCTCCGGGATAAAGACGACTAGGACTCGGAGAAGGACTCGGCGTGGTCACGGATAGCCCACATTTGCATTAATAAAATAAAATAATGGTGGTGGCATTTTGAAATGTAACTTCCACTGTGTATTAATTATCGACGGCTCAATGGTTTTCGGCTCAAATTTTGAACAAATAACTCATTGATTCAAACGCCTTTGTGGTACATACACGAACATTTATCAACATACTTTTATACATCATTAAAGATCGTTGTATATATATATATATATATATATATATATATATATATATATGGAAAGAAGAAGAAGGAAAATAATAGATTGTGGGAGGTGGTGAAGAATAGAACAGAAGAGAGAAGAGCAGAAGGCGAAAGATAAAGAGAATGAGGAGACGTGGAAGTAGAGGGGAAAGGGGAAGAAGAATTAGGACGGTAAGAATAAGTACAACCTGAAGGGGGAGCAGATGAAAAAGAAAGACAATTTGATGAAGGAGTGGAATATGAAGGACAACACAAAGAAGGATAGCTACAAAGGTGAAAAAGATATGAGAAATCAAGAAAGTAATAATGAGTGCGGGAAGAATGATATATACGAAAGAAAAGAAGAGGAGAATGGAGAGGAGTAAGGAGAGCAGAAAAAAGTATAGGCATGAAGGCAAGGAAGAACAGCAGAAATGAGGGAAGTAATGAGAAAGGAAATAATGGGTACGAAGGAAGAGGTGAGTAAGGACAACAGAAAGAAGGATAGGATAGAAGTAAAAAAGGAGATAAAGAAAGAGAGAGTAGGTGAGTGTAAAGAAAGACATTTACGAAGGATAAGTAAAACGAGAGCAGATAGTAGAATAGATAAGAATGAAAAGAAGATGAAAAGCAATGAGAGCAGAAAGAAGAAAGAGAAAGATGTAAAAAAGTAGAGAAAGGAGAGAAGTAAGAAGCGTATAAATAAAGAAAGGTGCGAAAGAAAAGTAAAAGGAAAGCAAGTGGTAGAATAGGTAAAGAGGTAAAAGAAGATGAAAAGTAAGGAGAGCAGAAAGAATAATAGGAAAGAAGTAAAAAAGGAGAGAAAGAAAGGTGCAAGGTAAAAGTAAAAGAGCAGATAGTAGGATAGGTAAGAAGGAAAAGAAGATGAGAAGTAAGGAGAGCGGAAAGAAGAAACGAAAAGAAGAAGGAGAGGAGCAAGTGCAGTCCAGAGGTGCGCGCTGGGGCGAGGCGCCGATACGGGGCAAGGGACGGAGGGGAGAGGAGAGGAGCGGAGATACGCAGCGATAACAGCGCGAGATAGCGGCGGACGCCTATTCACGGCCCGCGGTTCAGTTCGCGCGCGCCCATCCTACGGCCGACCGCCTCCTCGCGGTCGACAGCCGGCACCAACCCCACCACCACCGTCAGCACTACCACCGTCAACACCACCGCCACCACCGTCAGCACCACCACCGTCAGCATCACCACCACAACCACCGTCAGCACCACCACCGCCCCCACCGTCAGCGTCAGCACCACCCCCGGCGCCGGCATGGAGCTGCCGCCCCCGCAAAGGGTACGTTCCGCCTATGCAGAATGGCACGCGCGCAGTGAATACGCTCGATGTCGCCAACCCAGGAATGTGTGCGAGCTACGTAATAGAAGATCTACGAGGAACTAAAAGTGAATCATTCGTTATCTACACACCTTTATTACAGTATTAACAATTTTTGTATAGACCGTTGTTACAGTGTCATGGATATGGTATACTGCAACTGTTCTTTTTTTTCGTATATTTAACAAGTATTTGTTGGAATTTAAAGAAACGTTTCATTTGGTTTTCAATAGCCTTTATATTCTTAATAAGAGTAAATTAGGATATCACATGCGTACTATTTTAAATACTTGCAGCGGACTTCAAGGAAACGTCATGATTGTCGTACAATGATGTGAGAATCTGTTGGAGGATGAATTCTTGGAATTTGATTAGAGTATTCTATTAAAAATGAATCATTAAGTTCGCAACGGTTTCGGAATATTTTATCTCATCATCAGAGCTGCTGACAAAGATAAAAGCAACACTATTAACATACTTCTTGCAATTACACATACTTATCCAATAAACAAACAGATTGTGCAAAAATGAAGAAGAATCGATTACAATATTACTTCTCAAAAGATATATGATAATTCGCAATATCTCAACAGGAGATGGACAGCACAACGCCCAAGCACAAACACGAGTAGTGGTTCAAGGAATAGAGTCCACTGCAGGCCAAGGCAAGAGACAGACAGACGGCCGCACGGACGCACCGACTT